AATACATTCGATAATCGAGGTCCAAATTCGGTCTCCTTTCTTCTTTTTCTGGAATTTCTTTCTTTCCTTAGATCCAACAACCAGGCCGTTATCTCTAATGCTAGAAGCAATGCCAGTTTCATCCATATTATACCTATGCTTGGCTGGAATAGCCTCCACGCCTGGAGGCTTCAAATAGTCAAACCAAGGCCGGATAACGGCCTCACAGGCTCGATCAGCACGGTTTGCATGGATTCTCCGAGGCCTAATTGTAGAAATAGATGGATTTCTAGCCAAAAACCGGCTAGTCCAGCGTTTTCCGAGGGTCTCGTTATCTTCGAGCATTCTTCTAGCTAGTTTCCGAATTTGGGCGTGGGTTGGAGGGTGACCGAGCGACCCTTGGAATAGAATCCATTCGGTTAAGCGTTCTTCCATAGCCGGGGAAAGCTTTTGATTAAGAATTTGGGCCTTGGAGGCTGGCTCGGAACCACGAACCCGATTAAAGAGAGTAGTAGGGGGGATGCCGTGATTTTCAGCAGAGCTACGGAGTAAGCCGGTTTCTGCATACTCTGCCAGCGCATTCTGCAAATCCAACTGAGTATATCGCTTTATCTTTCATTTCTCAATTGAATGGAGAAAAGAAGATAAGTATTAAAGCAGAATTAGTCGAGTTGCAAGCGATTGAAATAGGTGAGTTGGGTGGCGAGCGGCAAGTCCTTGATGACAAACCTTGTTCCAAATCCAGGGGTGTTCCATAAGCAGACCACCTGACTTAAGGCAAAGTCCTCAGCCGGAGCGGGTGCTACAGCTTGTATACTCAGTTTGTGCCCTGACACGAACCATGCCGGTGAAACTTGTACAGGCCGCTCGGGATTAGCCGCCATCTTCATGCCGGGTCTTGAGGCGGCAGCTCGGCACTGGGCTGCGTGCAATGACTCGACGCAAGCTTGGCAGCGAGACCCGAGTCCTGAGCCAGCGGCGGACCTGATTCTCCAGACTTGCCCGATTTGCTGGCTCGTCTCTGCGTTGTTTTTGTGCCTGCCATCTTCCACATCACGAGGCACCGGGCCACCTGGTCCCTCTCGTTTATATTAGCCTGCTATCTTCTACATCACGGGCACCGGGCCGCCTGGTCCCTGCCCTTGTTTTGGGTCCCTGCCCTTGTTTTGGCCTGCTATCCTCCACATCACGAGGCACCGTACTGTCTGGTCCCCTTTGTTTTTATTGGCCTGCCATCTTTCACATCCTCTACACCGTCCGCCTAGATATGAACTATAGCCGTGAAGACTTGTGGGCCGCTCGGCGCTGCGGGTTTGCTGCCGTGGCAGGCTTGGTAGCGTGGGTTAGCTGCAAACGAGCGTGGAAACTTGTGCTGCGAAGCGGTGATGGTGTCGTCATATATGAGTCTAGAAACCGGAATAGAGGTTAGCGTATCCATCAACCCGAGAGCAAACCAGAACTAGCCCAAGAAAACAGACAGGTAGTAGAGCACAGGACTCGAGGGCCCCGGGACGCAGTCTTGGTAGCGTGGGTTCGCGAACCAGCGTGAAAACTTGTGGGTTGCGAAGCGGTGATGGTGGTCGTCATCCGAGTCTTCTAGACCGGAATCGAGGTTAGCGTATCCATCAACCCGAGAGAACCAGAACTCGCCTAAGGAAGACAGGTAATAGCACAGGACTTACCTGGGTCGAGCAATTCGGCGAGTTTCGGGCCGTAGTGGTGACGGTGTGGTATGTGACGAGCGATGCTGTAGTGAAAGCGAGTGCAGCGTTGCCAGAGCAGACTGAGCGACGACGGAAAAGGGACGACTGGGCGACGGCGGAAAAGTAGCAACTTGGCACGGTGCCATGGCTGGGGGGCCCTGTGAGTCGGGGTGCGGGGTCGAGGAACCGAGTCCGCTAACCAGCCCCCCTGAGCCCGCAGAATTCCATATTTCCCCGTAGAATTCCAAACAGTTTCCCGCATAGCATTTTAAACATTCCTCGCACAGCATTTTAAACATTCCTTGCACAGCATTCTAAACATTTCCTTTTCTTTCCTAGCTAGGTCTACGAATACAGACAATGCAGCCTTAGACAAAATAGACTAATAGCAAACGCACTATGGATGTTTCTTGTGGCTGTGCCAACGGGTGCCTGGCTGGTGCTCTCCCTGGAGTGCCAGTTGGTGCTCTCCCTGGCCTGGCCAGTGGTGCTCTTCCTGCAATGGCCTGGTGCTCTCCTGGCAATGGCAGACGGACAACAGCGGTGGTTAGAGCAGCATTTGGGTTGCTCCAGCTGCGGTCGAAGCACCGGTTTGGCGGATTACATGCTCGTCGGACTTGACATGTACTGTTTTCTGAGACAGACTTGCCCGATGTTGAAAAGGCCCGGTCTTGCACGGCCGGGTGGCGGGAGAACAGCCCGGTCTTGCACAGCGTGGCGAGACCCCTGAAGGCAGGTACGCCGGATCAAGGGGATGAAGTGCGAGTTCTAGCTGTCCGCCTTGGATCACCCTCGCCTCGGCGGTTGCCTCGGTATTGCTCTGGCGGTTGCCTTGGTATTGCTCCAGGCGCCGGTAACGCAGTTCCGTCTGGTGGCCCGGTTTATGCAGTCCGCCCCGCAAGCGGTTCTGGTCATGCCTGTACGGGTGGTGTTAGGAGCAGCCATCTCAGCGATGCACCCGATGCCAGCGCCGGCACCAACTCAAATATAGCACCTTCGTGACCAATTCTAATATTGGGCTACCATATACGCCTAGGCAGTCTATGACCACCTTCGAAAGGTACGTTTCTCCTAACAACATTCTATTCTAATGTCTTGTTACAGGCTCGCCTTCCCAGCCTCAGCTTCGCCACAACGTTCCGGTTGCCGCCTCGCCAACGATCCGGTTGCCGCATTGCGAACGTTTAGGTTGCCGCCTCGCCAACTTTCCGGTTGCCACAACGTTCCGGTTACCACAGCGTTCCGGTTGCTTGTCTCGCCACAACGTTCTGGCCAGCCTCGCCACCATTAACCTTGCCTCTTTCACGGTTATAATATCAACCCTTACCGTCTCTTCGCAAGCCCGGAGTTAAGATTACCACTATCAGCAGCAGCACCACTACCATTGGAAGATCATTACTACCACCGCCATCAGCCTGAGTAGTATCTCGCTCATTACGATGACTATAACCCTCTCCCCCCTCCTTGCCCATGAAAACTGACTTGAGCTCTAGACAACTTCCTCTGTTCGACTCAAGCTTCAGACAACTTTCCGGTTCTCAGCCTCGCCACCATCACCCAGTCCCTTTCACGGTCACGATATCAACCTCTACTAGTTCCTTCGCAGCCGGGAGTCAAGATTACCACTGCCGTCGACAGGTACGTTTCTTCTAACAACATTCTACTCTAACGTCTTATTACAGGCAACGCTCCTTTCACGGTCATAATATCACCAAGTCTTTGTTTACTTGCAGCATACTTAGGCTTTTTTACACTTTGACAGAGCCGCTTTATTGATAGAGACCCCTTTTGCGATTTACGGTATTTTGACCTTCAACAACGATTTTTTTCCAAGTTCAACACACGTGCCGGCACACATGCGACTTATGCACCGATCCTGTACTTCGACGGCTGTTGACTACTGCCCAGTCAGGAATAGGTTGCATTGGCCGGCTATACCTATTTCAGTATGTAGATTGTGAACGCAGTCAAATACAAGAGGCAAAGCTACAAGTAAAAAAGGGCTGAATTCGTAAAGTAACTAAGTTAAGGAAAGAAAAGGAAAAGGAAGAACTTTGCAAGTTCTACAGGCTACGGTTTTAGTCAGTGGTAGGGTGGGGTCGAGTGGGCACGTGTACGCTAGTCCCAATCTGGAAGAGAGTTGCAAGTGGGGCTTGCAACTTAGCGCATAGTCACGGCACCACGGACCATAGTTCGGCCGTGCCGTAACAGATTAGATTGGAAACCGGGAGTTCAGTCCCGCACCGCACAACAAACAGAACTATACTCTCAGGGATTAGCATTGGGTTTGGGAGTTCAGTCCCGCACGACAAGCAGAACCACGGGATTAGATTGGAAACCGGTTTGGGAGACAACAAAGAGATATCACCGCACATCCTAGTCTGGGCCCGAGTCCAGCGTCCGGGCCCGAGTCTGCACAGGTAAGCCCCTTCCCTCTAACCAACCGTGTTGGTGCTAATCCTCAACAACGCAGCAGTTGCAAGTTGCCCTGGGCAAGACGGCTCGACAAGTCTTGACCACGCTCCCACGTCCATGTACTTAAAGACGAGGAACAAGCGGGCTACCCGCCATGTGTTCAAAGACAAGGGAACAACGGGTTACACGCCTGTGTCCAGGACCTGTCGGGACAGACTTGACGGGCCCTTGAGCCAACCGGTGCACGGCGCTGGGGCAGGCCTACGTGGCCATACTGATTGTAGCTTGGTGATGGTGGGAAGGAAAAGCACTCAGCCGTGGGAAACCGGTCCCGAGTTCAGTCCTGCACACAGTCCCGCACAATAAAGAACCACACTCAGCCAGATTAGCATTGGCCGGTCCCGAGTTCAGTCCCGCACAACAAAGAACCACACTTAGCTAGAGCATTGGAGACGGTCCCGAGTTTAGTCCCGCACAACAAAGAACCACACTCAGCCAGATTAGGGAAACCGGTCCCGAGTTCGATTCCCGCAACAAAGAGTCAGAACCACTCAGCCGGTCTGGAGTTCCCCCACAACAAAGAGATTACCACCGCACACCACTTCCTGTCTGGGCCCGAGCTGCCCGAGTCTTTGCACCGGAGACTCCACAGGTAAGCCCTTCTACCCTCACAGCCTCTAACTAGTGCTAATCCTCAACAAGGCAACAATTGCAGCAGGCAGCCCAACTACGAGAAGTCGTGTGTAGTAACCCCGCCACTGTCACGGCGGGTGCCGTGGTGGTATCAATGACGTAGTGCTGGAGTGTGGTCTGTGCGTACCTATCACGTGGTCCGCACCATACCTAGAACCCCGCGCCTTGCCCGCTCCCCGCAACACCTTCCTTTTCCTTCCTTAGCTTTAGATTCCATAGTATAGGTTACGGTTATACTGCGTGTTATGCCAGTCGAATCCTCTCCTTCGTGACAGCTACAGAACCGCAAAAATGAAGAAGATTCCGAGCACGACTTGCTGTTTTGCTCTGGGACTAGTGAGGATCGAACTCACGACCTTGGGTTGACTCTGATGTCTAATCAGATCATGTGCCGAAACATGAGGCCCACGCGCTTACCAGCTGCGTCATGGTCCCTGCTGTTGTTGAATCGTCCCTCTACAGGGGCTCATACGGGAAATCGTCTGCATTACCCGCCAAGTCCCGCACAGAGATTGCCCGCACAACAGAGATTGCCACCGCACCAAATCATTGAGGCAGGGCGCAGATTGCAGCTGCACATGATGGTGGGAAGCAGACCACACTCCAGCGGGATTGCATTGGAAGCCGGTTTGGGAGTTCAGTCCGCACAACAAAGGAATTGCCGGCACCTCAAATCACAGGCAAGAAAACCGGTCCGGAGTTCAATCCCGCACAACAAAGAACCACACACGGGATTGGCATTAGGGAACCGTCCAGGAGTTTTCCCGCACGACAAAGAGATTATCACCGCACATCATTTCTCTAGTCCAGGCGCAGCTTAACGTGGACTGCACTCAGGTAAGCCTCTACGCCCACAAAGCCTCCAACCAAACGAGTGCTAATCCCCAACAAGGCAGCAGTTGCAGCAGTGCAGCCAGGCAAGTGTCGAACAAGGACGGCTCTCTTAACAAGTCTCGGGTCTCGCCACGCTCCCCCGAGTTGCATCGCAGTAGTTGCCACTCTGGGCAAGTTCTCGACCACGCCCCAGGTCCAAGAGTGTTCAAAGACAAGGTCGACAGGGGCTACCCGATATGGACGCGCCCGTGTCTTAGCACGTTGGGACTCGAGCCGACCAACCTGACGCCCTCTTTGAGCATATCAACTGGCACGGCACGGTACCAGCCGCTGTGGGCAGGCCACGGTGCGTGACCATACAGATTGCAGCTTGGCATATGATTGTGGACATGACGCAGCCACACTCCAGCGGGATTAGCATTGGAAACCGGTCCGAATTCTTTCCGCACAACAAAGAGGCAGATTATCAGCACAGTAAACTAGGCAGTATGGCCAACCACATGGAGAAACCGGTCTAGGAGTTCTTCCCGGTCCAAGATATGTTCAAAGACGGGCAACAAGCGGGCTGCCCCGTGCCGTTGCCACTCTTGGGCAAACAAGGACGGCTCCTGACGATGTCTCGACCAGTTAGATGTGTTCAAAGACACTGCAACAAGCGGGCTGCCCCGAGGTGCCGCCGTTGCCACCCTTAGCGTCAGGGACGGCTCCTGACGAGTCCCTGCTCGACCAGTCAGATGTGTTCAAAAGGTCAACAAGCGGCCTCCGAGTTGCAGTCACAGCAGTTGCCCCTGCAAGACGGCTCTCCTGATAAAGTTTCGACCACGCCCCCAGGTCCAAGACAAGTTCAACAACCGCGTTGCAGCAGTTATAGCAGACCCCGGCAAGTTCGACAAAGACGGCTCCGACAAAGTCTCGACCACGCCCCCAGGTCTACGACAAGGTCAACAAGCACCCCGAGTTGTAGTAGTTATAGCAGACCCCCAAGTTCGACAGAGACGGCTCCTGACATGTCCCAGGTCTCAACCACGCCCCAGGTCCAATATGTGTTCAGAGACAAGGCCAACGAGCAGCGGCGACCCCGAGGTGCAACAGACGGCTCCTGACCAAGTCTCGGGTCTCAACCGCGCTTTCCAGGTGAATCCAGATGTCGACCGCGCTCCCCAGGCGAATCCAGATGTCGACCTCGCTCCCCCAGGTCTCCACCACGCTCTCCTAGATATCGACTACTCTTCCCTAGGTCTCCACCACGCTCCCCAGGTGAATCCAGTGAATCCAGATCTCGACCACACTCCCCCAGATCACTACGCTCACCAGGTGAATCCAGATCTCGACCATCCCCAGGTGAATCCAGATCTCGACCACGCTCCCCCACGTCTCGACCACGCTTCCCCACGTCTCGACCACGCTCTAGAAACCGGCTCAGAGCTGATTCCCGCACAACAGAGAGCCAGAGACAGCGCCGCAATATGGGGGTCATGGTTATAGAATCCAAGGAAAGAAGAAAGAAGCTACGGGGGCGAGGAATAGGGGTGTAGATGGACCCGACCAAGTTGCTACACGGCACAAGCTATGAGATTTGGGGAAACCGCTCTCGTCGATCGAAAGAGTCGGGAGGCAGGCTGCAATCTATATTTGTAGAATCTGAGGAGAGAAAAAGCAAAGTTGCAATACTTGTGGGCGCGAGGAAACAGGGTTGTGTTTTGTGGAAGTGGCTGCCAGTTGGCATAAAGCAGAACTATACTCTTCAGCTATGGGATTTAGAGACCTGGGGAGTAACATGGGTTCAAAGACGAGGTCAACAAGCAGCCGAGTTGCACAGTTGCTACCTGGACGGTCAACAAGCAGCGGAGGCAGCCGCAATATGGTCAACCATACTCTAGCCATGGCATTGGAATCCGTACGAGTCCAGTCCCGTACAAGATGGTTACTGCACATCAACCGCCGCTGTCTTGGCCTCGAGATGTGGACCGCGGCCGTAGGACCGTCGTACGGCCCGCGCCCTCGCCGCCAACCTGTCCTTCCCGCCCGTGGCAGAGACCGGCACCGCGACCCCTCAACCCGGCTGCCTATGGCACTGCAACCCGCCCATGGCACCGCAACCCCTCAACCCACCCACGGCACCGCAACCTCTTAACCCACCCACGGCACCGCAACCTCTCAACCTACCCACAGCACCGCAACCCCTCAACCCAACTCCCAACCCATAGCAGCCACGGGCGCCTCAGCCACGTCACCCCGCCCAACTGTTCGTCTCCCACATCCTCAGCCACGCCAAGCTTGGTCGCCGTCCGTTACCGCGTCCTCAGCCACGCCAAAATTGGTCGCTGTCCGTCACCGCGTCCTCAGCCACGCCAAACTCGGTCGTCTTAGCACCGCGCCCTCAGCTACGCCAAACTCGGTCGCCGTCTTAGCACCGCGCCACTAATTGCCATCGGCTACAAGCGGCAGCTGCACGATGAAGACGTCTGGTTCCTTGCTTACGAGTTCCAGCACAGCTGGCTCCACCGACTCTTCCATGATATCCCAGGCACGGTGCTAGCGCGGCTGTTCTAGGCCGCTGGCCTTGATCTTCTTCTTACTACCGGCTTCTTTCCCTCAGCTACACCAAACTCGGTCGCCTCTCACCACCGCTCCCTCAGCTACGCCAAACTCGGTCGCCTCTCACCACCGCGCCCTCAGCTACTGCCAAACTCAGCTACCGCCAAACTCGGTCTCACCACCGCATCCGCACCACCTCCACATCGTCGCCGTCTTCTTGGCCTCAGCCAGACTTGGTTGCGTCTCGCCACCGCGTCCGCACCGGCACCTTTGCGCGTCGAGCACCACCTCCACCCCACGTCGCCATGTAGCCTACGCCCGTCGCCGCGGTCCCGGCACTCCCAATCCTCCCTCTCTGCCCGGCACGCGCAGCACTGCCACGCCACGTCGCCGTTGACGAGCGCTCCGTGTCGCCTACGCGCGAGTCGCGCCCCCAGCCGCGCCCCCAGCCGCCTGCCGTCTCCCACGCACACATGCCCCTCTTCTCGCACGTGCTGCCCTCGGCGCTCCCCGCCGGCGAGCTCCCGTCGGCGGACCCTCGGTCTGCCCGCGTCGCCGAGTGGCTAGACGCGATCCCTCTGGACCAAGACGCCTTCGTGTCGGTCGCCACGCCGCTCGACGGCGCCAGACCGCGCGCCCTCGCGCCGCCGCGGCCCGAGACCCTACCGCCCGTCCCGCTGACTCCGCCCAACTCGCCCACCGGCTCGCGCGAGCCTCCAACGCGGCCCGCTGTGCAGCTGCTCGGCCCCGGCATCAACGAGTGGGGCACCAGCCACCCGACAACCTGGGACGGCGGCTTCTTGGGCGTTGGCGGCACGACCAGCATCCACCTGTGGGGCGCCTTCTCCGCCGGCTCGTAGACGCCCTGGGCGCCGTACCACTTGGGCGCCGCCATCCAGGCGCTCGAGTTTGCCTACGTGCGCTTCTTCTCGCGCGCGCCGCCCGTCGGCGCCCCCGCGGAGCACGTCCGCCTGATGGTGTGCCGCTCGGCCATCGGCGACGTCCGCAAGCTCTATCTCCCCGTGTTCCACGAATTCCGCAAGCACGCGCTCGACACGCCCGCCGCCCGCGGCCCCGACCTAGCCAGCGCCCCGGGTTGCAACTCGGAGGACCAAGACTTCGACCCCTACCGAGACTAGTGGAAGCGCGGCTCGGGCGCCCTGCCGCACATGCTCAACCCCGCCGAGAGGAGCGCGGGCCCGCCGCCGCCGATGAACGCCGAGCTGGACGCGGCGCGCGCGTCGGCGGCCGCGACCATGGCCAATGGAAAGAAGAACAGGATCAAACGCCAGAGAAAGCACAAGAGGAAGCTGGAGTGGTAGAGAAGTCAGCAGCGGCCTAATATCAACGCCAGCAGAGTCGCCGTGCGCATTCTCGCCGAGAAGTAAAGGCTCCGCAACCGCCACTTAACGGAGCGGCGATGGCTGGACACGCTCATTAGCCATATAGCCAGCGATACCGATGTGGCCAGCGATGCCGACTTGGCCAAGAGCGACCAAGAATACAAAGAATGGCTGGAAAGCGTCTTCAACCAGACGCTCAGCGCCTCGCGGGCCGACGTCGACAAGGCGCGCGCCATCGGCAGCATAGCACCAGCATCAGAAGAGCGGGAACCCATGAGTGAGCGGCGCCGCGGCAAGCAGCCTGACACGCGGGTGGCGAGGGGATAGCAAGGGATGGTGAGAGATGGTGAGGGATGGCGAGGGATGGCGAGAGATAGCAGAAGATAGCGAGTAATGGCAGGGGATGGCGAGAGATGGCAGAGGATGGTGAGGAGATAGCGAGGTAGATAAGGCGCCGACGGCGACGGCGACAGCGTCTCAGGCTTCTATCAGGACTGCAGCGCGTCGTTCGAGCGCGCGTGTAGACGCTAATGTGCTGGCCTGTGTCCTCTGGTCTGGTCTAGGCCTTTCGTACCTGTCCGTGGTGATACTCGTGTGTCCAGTGTCAGCCAACCCAGCCAACACGCTAACCCACCCACCACAAACCCACACCCACACCCAACCCAACCACCGGCCTCGCCCTGTCCCGTGCCAGGGCGGGCTAGAGTCTGGCATACCACACGCCCCCGCACAATATAAGAAGTTATTCACACTCAAAGGTAGGGGGAAAAAATGTAAGGAAGCTAATTTGGAGTCAATTTCAACTTCATTCGCAGCAATGCAGCGAAAAAATTAGGGCCTTTGGGCTGACAAATCCACATTGAAATTAAACTACATCCAATTACCTAACTAGTTTAATTCTCTGCAGCTTCACAATCGACTACGTTGTGGTTGTTTAAATATTTGGTGTTTTGGTGTAAAAAGATGATCCGCTGCTAAGGTGATCCGTTGCTAGGGTGATCCGTTGGGGGTGGGGTATGGTATGTAGGAATTTAGAACTATTGTGAGGGCATTTGTATTTGAAATTTAGCCATTGAGTCACTGATGAACGTTTGTAGATGTTTGTTGGACTCGAGGTTTGTTGACCCCGATGTTTATTAACTCGAAGTTCGCTGACTCCGATGTTTGTTCATTAGCTATCAAGTAACCGATAAACGTTTGTAGATGTTTGTTAGACTCGAGGTTCGCTGACCCTGATTTTCGTTAAGCTCGTGGTTCGTTTGTATCGCGTATCCAGGTAGTGGAACAACGCGCATTCCAGCTACATAGAGTGGCTGTATGTGACGAACCTGGTTCGTACTGGACCAGCTGCAGGAGGCAGGCGCCTCAGGCAAGACTGGGGGCCCCGCTCGTCGAGAGCCAATTAGACGGTGCCCGGTGCCAAGAGGGATCTTGGCACCAGGCAAACGGAAGGACGGCCAATCAGAGGTGGCCCGGTGCCAAGAAGGGTCTTGGCACCAGGCAAATGGCCCGGCACGCTAGCAGTGCCCGGCGCCAGGCAGCTCCTTCCTGCCGGGCAAGTAAGAGCTGTGCTCTTACTGGCTCGCCATAATTAAATAAATACGATGACCGTATCCACGGTCTTAGATAGTTCTTGCTTGGTTCTTCAAGCAAGCAATACACATTCACTGCACTCATACACTTTGAGTGGCATTCCGATTTGACTGTATTACCCGTGCGATAAGAGCTTGCCCTTTGTTCTATCTTCATAATTACCAACCCCAGCATTCTGTGGAGCCCGTGCTCCCTTACAGACAGACGACCCTAACAGTCGAGTGGTTTGTAATACTGTAGTAACGTATTCATTAGCCACATAGGCGGCGGTGGAGGCGTAGGGGCTCCAGATTCTATATAAGTGGCATACGGCCACCTCTTTCTTCTAGATAAACATACTATGGTTACGAGTCAAAGGTTTCCCCCTTGCTCAGTGTGAAGGCAGTCAACTACAAGAGGCAACGCTGCAAGTAAATAAGGGCTGAATTCGTAAAGTAACTAAGTTAAGAAAAGAAAAGGAAAAGGAGGAAGCCTGCAGGCCTGCAGGCTACGATTTTTGGTGGTGGTAGGGTGGGGTCGCGTGGTCACGTGTACGCTAGTCTTAATCGGGAAGAGAGTTGCAAGTGGAGCTTGCAGCTTAGCGTATAGTCACGGCACCACGGACCATAGTTCGGCCGTGCCGTAACACAGGCTACCCAACACAACAACACAAGCCTTCTACGCATGCCACTTAGCCGACAGTATGCCACGAACAAGGCACCTAACTACCGAACAACGTCAACGCGTACGTACGTTGTACTACGATGCCGACAAGTCCTACGCCGAGACAAAAGCGATTACAGGCTATACGAAGGACCAGATCTGCACAGCTGTACGTGCCGAGTCGGCTGCAGTTGGTGTCCGGTCGGGGCGACTTCGGGCCTTGTCCCGGGAGCAAGAGAAAGAGTGTAAGGAAAGAGCACCCCAAACGCCCGGTCCGGCCCAGGCGCCACCAGCTGGCCCCAAACAGCTGGCCTGGCCTAGGCGACCAGCTGGCCCCAAACACCCGGCCCAGCCACCCGCCAGATTGAGCCACCCAACTATGTATATAAATAGTGGCCCTCGCCCACCTTCCTTTGCGAGGGCCAGGTTGAATTCTTTTACCAATGCCAGTCATTGCTCGCCCTCTTGTTCCCTCTCTCGTGACCACCTTGATCAGGCGTACCTGCCTTCTCTTACACATAGATTTCAACAATGAAGCCAAAAAATCGTGAGGTAACTCATTCCATGCCTCCAAAACGTATCCCCTCAGTATATCGTAGCTCGGGTTTTCATCAAGACCGTATTTATCCTCGATAAAATCCTTCATCTAATTCCGACAGGTTTCTATTAGATTCAGGTGTGGGGAATACGGAGGCCAGTAAATAACCTCAACACCACGCTCGCGAATGTCTTGTTTGATAAGAGCAGCGGTATGCCCGAGAGCTCCGTCTTGCATGAGGACTTGATCTTCGCTTTCTAGCCTCATAAGACAAATCCAACCATCGATAATAGGAACCGTATGCTCTCTATATGACTCGCCCGTTATTGTTCCCCAATCCTTTTCCCAGAAAAGACCAGGGCCCTTTCCACGCCCTGAAAAACGAGCCCAAAATATGCAGCCTTTCTTACGTTGATAACGCTCAATAATGCATGTTAGATCTCACTCTTCACCAAGGCACCTTGTTACGTATTGTTTTTTATGAGAGCCGCCGGTAACCCAGGTTTCGTCAGTCCAAAGGACCTTCTTCCACTGCTCGGGAGTCCAGTTCATATGCTCGAGAGCCCAGGCCAGTCGCTTTTGTCGGTTGGCTTCCGTAATATGTGGTTTTTTCCAGGCGGCTCGACGACAAAAGCTAAGGCGGTAGAGGGCCTTTTTAATCGCCGAGACCCCGAAGATGGCTCCAAAGAAAAGGGAAGCCAGCATTAGAAAGGGCATTCTTCTGTTTTGTTCCGAAGCGCAGACGAATTCAACGAGCTCTTTGTAAGAGAGGGCAGGTACGCCTGATCAAGGTGGTCACGATGGAGGGAATAAGAGGGCGAGCAATGACTGGCATTGGTAAAAGACTTCAACCTGGCCCTCGCAAAGGAAGGTGGGCGAGGGCCACTATTTATATACATAGTTGGGTGGCTCAATCTGGCGGGTGGCTGGGCCGGGTGTTTGGGGCCAGCTGGTGGCGCCTGGGCCGGGCCAGGCGTTTGGGGTGCTCTTTCCTTACATTATGCAGGCCCGATGCCAAGCAGTCATTGACGTAGTCGCCGTCCGAAATATAGACCTCGCCGTTGATCTTAGCAGGCGTAGTGCAACCATCCTTGGCCGTGGCAGAGCTCGATCTGATGGGCGGGACATCTACATGCTGTATACCTTTGCGAGCCTAGAGCTGCGAGTTGATTTTCGCCGCGGCAGCAGCTGGCAACAGAGTTAGCAGGCAGTCAAAAGTCACGTCGAACAAATTCAGAGATAGGCATTCGTATGCAACATGCCAGCGGCTGCAGCCGGACGTCGGGGTCGTCTGTTCTGGGGGAGGACAAGGGCTTCGGTTGACGGCACAGTTAATTTTTGAGAGCCAGTCGTTTTTACTCCGCGCAGGGAAGGGCGCGTTAGGTAGGTAAGTATTGATTAATTATCAAGTCGAGGGTGGATTAATTACTTAGCGGAGCCTTTGAGAAGACCTAGTCGGTCAACACAGCACAAGGCAGTCGGGTCGGCAAATGAGCAGTTCTAGGCTCAGTAAACCTCCGAGTTCCAAAGTTCTCTTCTTCTAGCGAGCATTCTTGGAGAGCATTTAGGTCAAGTAAGGAAGGAAATTGCCTACCTTGAAGATGCTACGCAGTCTGGACGACGCCGCACACCTCGCGAGGAATACTTCAAGGCCTCCCTTCTCCAGAGACGGCCGCGCCCGTCTGAGGTCGCTCCAGTCACATGACGAGAAACTCTGCGCGGGCCAGGGGTTTCTTCCCATCCATCCAGTTCGCCACGCTCTTGACATGGTCGCCTTCCGGTTCGGGGCGTTTGAGGTTTTTGAGGAACGACGTGAGGAGGCTGTTAATCAGCTACCCAAGCTATCTAATACCCATTTGCCTGTCCAGAAGAGCTCCCGAATCAAGTACGTGTGGTAATGGGGGCGAGTGTAGCTAGGCCCTAGGTCTAATTACTATATTCGCCAAGTTTTTCCTGTACCTCGCTAAGCAGCGCCGCTTGCTCGGCCGCCTTCGCGTCCTGGCGTCTGTTAGTCGTCAGGGAGTACGGGCTCGGTTTGTTCTCGGCATCGTCGAGGCCGTCCAAGCGCTGCTGCAGCTGGGCGAGCTCATCTTGCTTGCGTAGCAGCACGCGTGCGTGCAGCCGCCTGAAGCTCCGGAACATAGCAAAGTCCCTGTCGTTGCCGAGGAAGGCCGCCAGAGACGGGTACCCCGGGGGGAACGCCTCGACCTGAGAGAGGGTTCTGCGTCAGCATGGGAGTAATTACAGGGCCTACGTGTTCAGACGGACTATGAATTCTTTCTTGGGTGAGAGAATGCGACGCATGCCTCTAGTGTGAGGGGGTGGGAGATTGGAACGCGTACTCTTTGGGGGGCAGTCGGTGAAGCATTCTGCGGGGCTGGTATGCTGTGTGACCACTGCTGCGCGGGATTTAATTACACACTGCCCGGACGAAAAGAGAATCGGGGTGACAAGGGTCATCTCCTTACGCCTTTGGCGGCTCACAAACTGGGGCAACGCCATTGATGCTTCTGCTGTTGTTGCTGTCGTCGTTGTCGTCGACACGGCTCTAAGGGGCCGACACACGGCATAACGTTTCCAGGGGCTTCATTTAATCTTGAGAGCACCGTGAAAAATGCAGCAAATAAATGCCTTTACTAAAAGTAATGGCTGCCAAGTCGGGGCGAAACTGGCACTTTCTCACAGCCCCTGGAGGCCTTCTCATCGGCCGCCCGGCGCATCGAGGTCGCCAATTCAGGGGATACTAGCACTTGCATGACAGATGCCAATTCAGCAAACTGTTGTCCCTCCCCAGCTCAAGCTAGCACTCGCAGGCTGCTCTCCGGCACGGTGTCACGGCACGGCGGTAGGAGCTGAAGCCCTACGGGTGCGTGACCATATTATAACCCACTATAGAATTGCAGCCTGACGGCTTGTAATTCTGGCATCCTTTTGGGGGTTCTGGTGCAGCGGTAGTGGGTGCTGTAGCTAGCGCCGTCACACACGGCACGTGGATGCTGATAACCATTTTCCAGCCTTTTGATGACATATGTCGAGTTTTCGTTGTTGCTAGACACGACCTCGCCTACGGCGTACAGCGGCTCGTTGGGCCACTGTCGGTATCGTCGATAGCTGTTATTCCCCATCTCCTCTTCGCGCACGTTACTTGGGCTAAAGGAGCGCACATGCGTCGGATTTGTTGACATATTCGTCGACTCGCGAGCGGTACCGTCACTCTGGGTTTTGCGAGAAGGATGTGTCCGGGGCCGTCTTCTGGGCCTGTGGGTGGCTAACTGTCAGTGGCTATGATCCATCGCGCGGGCAAGGGATTTTCGCTCACGTCTGCCGCTTCATCTTCCGACGACGAATCGTCCTCCTCAGGCCTCGTCCGGCCGCGGATACTGTGGCGGAGTTACGCTGCACATGACTGGGCACGTGGGCATTAGCCTCGCCCTGGGGATTTCGCTCACAAATTTAGTAAGGAGATTTTCTCCACGAATTAGCTAGCCAATGTACACATTTTTGTCTACCCACAACAGGTTATGAAGCCCTCTCTTTCTGCTTTTGCTGAGGCCATTCGCAGCTCGCTTTCTTGTGCATTCGAGAACGCCTAGAAGGTTTAGTCAATTTCAGCGACCTGATCTTATTTTCCGCAAAACGCGCGCGCAAGACACAGTTGCCCTGCACCGCATTTCGAGGCCGTAGTTGAGCAACTGCGGGCCATTTTGACGGCATTTTCCAATCGTCTCTCTTTCTACCCTGACGGCAATTCCGATCGCCAGGTTCATCTACCCTGACGGCATTTCCGATCGCCAGGATTCATCAATTGACCGCATTCCGATCGTCAATTTGACTTCTAACGGCATTTTCCGATCGTCAGAATCAAGACTTCAGCGAGTGTTGAAGTCCATCGACAACGCGAAGGCTTTCTTTCTCCCTATAACCAGTCAATTCAGTCAATCTATTCAACCACAATGAAGTCTTCCGACGTACGCGGTAGTCTCAAAATTGAGGCTGTCGTCCTTCAAGGCGAGAAGAGCCTCTCTCAATGGAACAACTCCCTCCTTAGTATTCTTGAAGTAGAAGGGCTCGAGCAATACATTGAGGAAGAGGTCAAGGAACCAGTTCCCTCCCGAGGGAGCTAGCCAAACGGCTCTCGATACCTGTGAAGAAAAGGTGGATCAGTGGCGCACCGAGCGAGCTTTCGTCAGGGCAGTCATTCTTCAGATCTTTACGGCGGCAGCTCAAGAGAACTAGAACCCTAGAGAAAAGAACCCGAAGGTCCTATATGACCTAATTCACCGTGTTATACCCCGACTTACCCAGGAAGCAACAACCGACTTTGTGATGGAATATATGAAGATCGATCGGACGTCGTTTACTTCCATGCAGGCCTTCCTGACTAGACTTCGATTTATCTACAAGAAGCTGGCTGAGCTTAATGTCTCTATTAGCGAGAACTTCTACGTCAACGCTGTTGTTGGAAAGCTCAAGAAGACTTACCCGAGCGATACTTGTTTTGGCTCGCCGGCTTGAAGCCAGGACGCATGACTTGGACTAGCCTGAACTCAGAGCTAGAAGAGATCTCCGCTAGCGAGGAAGCTACTACGAAGTTCACCAAGCTTGCACTCTCTAGCAACAATAACGATGACAACAAGAAGGGTGGAACTTAAAAGAGGATTGTATGCCCGAAGGAAGGTTGCACATTCAAGATGCTTAGTACCTACCATCATAGACCCTGCGGGCATCACGGCCCGAAAACTGCCGAGCACTGTTGGCACTGCAAACCTGAGAGAGCTCTAGAGAACTGGCCAAGCAAGAAGAGACTTATTGAAGAGAAGAAGAAGAAGAATGAGGATTCAGGCACATCGACTACTACAGTGGTCCTGCACAACAACGGAGGACTTGCAAATCCCTTAACTTCCTCGGACTCGCATTTACTATTCTCCGGCAATTTCTTCACGCCTCAGATCGACCTACCAAGCGAGGACCCGCGGCTGGCTAGCCGCGCCCCTGGGCAGACTTTCTACATTCCAGAATCCCCTCATGCCGGTATGCCTATGCCCAAGCCACGAGCGAACCCTGAGAGGGAGCGCGGTGGTCTGGAGCAAGCCTCGTACTCGGCTGGCAACCCGGATTTTCACATCAACCCCCGGTACTGAACGCGTTGTTTATGAGTGCCAAAGCCCAACAGGCTGTTAAGGCAAATGAGGTCACGAGAAACTCTGTTGTGTTTGACACAGGAGCCTCGAATTCCAGCTTCAACCACTTGAATTGGTTTACAGAGCTGCATCCTCTCCCTGACCCTCTACACTATGTGTGTGCGTCAAAATCGATCAGTTCCTCCTACTACATGGGCAATATAGAGCTCAACACAGTAACAATAAAGGGAGAGAAATGGTGTATGAGAATCCCTCACGCATACTATTACCCCGAGACCCCGGCAAATCCAGTCGGAATACACTCCCTGAAGCTCAACAGCTATATCTGGCAAATGGAAGAGAATGACATAATCCATAAGCCAACAAAGAAGCATGTTCAGTGCCAGTACCTGAGGAACATTCCCGTTATTCCACAACAACCTCCCGAAAACTTCGATCAATCAGTAATTACTCCAACGCATGCAGTACTCTCTTCAATCAACTACCCAACGATGCACAAGCGGCTGATGCATTCGTCGAGGGACATCGTGCTGAAGGCATGCAAGGAGGCAGGAATCAAGCTGAGAGGTCAACAACAGGATTACTTCTGTGATGCCTATACGAGAGCAAAGAAGACTGATGAGATTGAAAAGAAGGCACCGCCTAGAGGATGCGGCCCGCTTGACATGATCAGAGTTGACGTTATGTCACACGTTAACCGAGGCCACCTGGGCTATCAGTATATTGTTTTATTTATTGATGTTTACTCAGGCTTTCTTTGGGTTCGCTTTACCAAAGATAACACGATGCATATGAGCAGGTCAAGGAGTTTGTCACATTCGTGGAGCGTTAGACAGGAAAGAAAGTCAAGATCATAGGTCTTGACGGCGGCCCGGAATTTGGCTTGAACACGAAGGTGTCACGAGCTCCCGTGGCACTGGGCGCAGCGCGCCCTAATGGGGCACCGGGATTGGGAGCGGGGTAATGGGGCCTCAGGCCACCACACGCTAGCGGGCCTGAGAGCATGCAGGAAGCAGTTCGGGCCTGGCCCGAGCAGAGGAGGTGTTGCCTCCGGGCCTGCTCTCATTGGCCAGCCATAGATAGATATATACGACGACCGTGGCACCGGTCTTAGATAGTTCTTGATTGGTTCTTCAAGCAAGCAATACACATTCACTGCACTCATATACTTTGAGTAGCATTCTGATTTGACTGTATTACCCGTGCGATAGGAGCTTGCCCTTTGCTCTATCTTCATAATCACTAACCCCAGCATCCTGTGCAGCTCGTGCTCCCTTACAGACAGACGACCCTAACAGTCGAGTGGTTTGTAATACCTCGATAAAAATACCAGAAAGATAACCCCAAGAGCCCGCTAGGTAGTATGTTGTAACTTCGAGAGCACAAGCTAGAAAGGTCAAGACGTCGATACGGTAGGACTGAGTATATGCTCGGAAACGACTAAGTAATGGAGGGGAGATTTAGAAGCCTTGCTTCCGCGCTCAAAGCGCCTTTATTAAAATTACGAAGAAAAAAAAAGATAGTAACAAGCCTGTAGGAGCGCGCCGGCCCGGTGAGCGTGGTAACGAACTCGCAATGGGGCGCGCTGGCCGCTTGCGTAAGACCGGCCTTAGGCCCACAGGTCGTTGAGCTTGCAGACGAACTCGCTAACGAGCTTCTCCGTACGGGCTTTGCGCTCCGCACGCGTTAGTACGAAGCGGGCCCCGTCATCCTCCTTGTCTTTGTCCTGCTCATCCTCGTCCTCGTCTTCCTTGTCTTCTTCTTCGTCGCTGCTCTCGGCAGCTCACTCCTCGTCGTCGTTATCGTCGTCGTCGTCTTGATCGTTGTCGGGGACAGCGGCACCGATACAGCAGACGGCCTGTTCGACACCTAGTTAGCGAGAATGAACAAGGCAGACGCGATAGAGCAAGGCAGACGCGACAGAGCAGACGCGACAGAGCAGACGCGACAGAGCAGACGCAACAGAGCAGACGCGACAGAGCAGACGCGATAGAGCAGACGTAACAGAGCAGACGCGACAGAGCAGACGCGATAGAGCAAGGCAGACACGACAGAGTAGACGCGATAAAGCAAGGCAGACGTAACAGGGCAAGGAAAACTTACGGCGGGGGCAAGGCTCTCCCCACGCTTCAGACCAGGCTCAGCGCGAGACTTGTCAAAAGGAAGCGGGACTCTATTTTAAGGCTATTAGCAGATACGAGACAAAGCTGTGAGGCTCAACATACGCCTTCTTCTTGCTCTTTCGAGCGAGCAATTTGCGCCGGGCGGCGACTTTCTCCGCCGAGGCGGGACTTAGACTAAAGCCCTCTCGGGCGGCGGCTTCATAGTAACGATCGAGGGCGGCGCACGCCTTCTCGAAGGCGGCTACTATCGGGGCGGACGTGGTCTTTCGAGCGAGTGATTTGCGCTAGGCGGCGACTTTCTCCACCGAGGCGGGACTTAGACTATAGCCCTGTGGGGAGGCGGCTTCATAGTAACGATCGAGGGCGGCGCACGCCTTCTCGAAGGCGGCTAAAATCGGGGCGGACGTGGTCTTTTTGGGTGGCATTTTTAGTGATGCTACAGACAAAATCATTGAACGCGAGCGAGCACGCGCGGCAGAATTTATATTGTTACGGCAACTACCAAGCTCAGGGGCTCTGTAAACCGTGCGCCGCCGCCGTACTTGGCCAGGTCGGGCTCCCGCCATATTGCCGTGCTCATAATTGCACTGCCGTACTCATAATTGCACTGCCGTACTCATAATTACACTGCCGTACTCACTGCTATGTGTCACGACCAGGGCAAGGCATTGAGGTGAACTCAGTCCATTGGGTGCTATCGACGAAGATTCTAAACTGAGGAAGGAAAGAAGGAAAAGTCCAACGACGCGTCGCGTGCTCGCGAATAAGTTTTCATCTATCAGTGGGGTAGGTGGGGCCTCGAGGCGGCCTCTGATAGGCCCGGGGTTCTGGGCGGCTCTGGCTGCTTGAGGGCCAGTTTGGTGGACGGGTCCTCACACTATATGCTCATAAGTACACTACCGTACTTGCTACTACACTACCGTGCTCGCTACTACACTACCGTGCTCGCTACTACACTGCCGTGCTCGCCACTACACTACGCAGGGCATTTCTCTACAGCCCTGGAATAAAAGTATTACATAAAAAAGACTGGTTCTCTCAAAAGCACTATCAAAGAAGACTGCTTCTCTCAAAAGCATCGAAGAAGACTACTTCTTTCAAAAGTACTATCAAAGAAGACTACTTCTCTCAACTACTTTCTACTGGCATACACCTGACATTACCTATACAGTCTCCTGGCTCTATGAAGAAATAAAAGACCCTTAAAAAACATCTTAAGCTTTTCAAGCATTTGTTTCGCTACCTAAAAGGCTCAAAAGCTTTACGGAAATACTGTTACGGAACGGCTGAACTATGGCCCGTGGTGCCGCAACCATGCACTAGCTGGAGGCTTCACCTCGCAGCTCCTCTTTTCGATTAGGACTAGCCCGATTGCCCCACCACTCAATCCCAAAACCACAGCCGCAGGAACCGCAGGCTTCTTCTTTTTCTTTTTCTTTCCTTAGCTTAGTTATTTACAAATACAGCCATTCTTTACTTGCAGCATCAACTCTCGTATATGCCTGCCTTCACAAATACCACTACTCAGAACCTAGGACTACGCACATTGCAGATGCTTCCTTGGCGGATGAACTTCATACTATTACAAACCACTCGACTGTCAGGGTCGTCTGTCTGTAAGGGAGCACGGGCTCCACAGAATGCTGGGTTGGTAATTATGAAGATAGAACAAAGGGCAAGCTCCTATCGCACGGGTAATACAGTCAAATCGGAATGCCACTCAAAGTGTATGAGTGCAGTGAATGTGTATTGCTTGCTTGAAGAACCAAGCAAGAACTATCTGAGACCGTGGCTACGGTCGTCGTATATATCTATCTAAGGCGGACCAATCAGAGCGTTGGTCCTAGGTGATCAGTGCGGTCAGTGTGCTCAGTGCGATCAGTTCCCACTGACCGCCCTGATCATACTGATGGCGCTGATCGCCACGCTATTGGCTGCACTCCCGTGAAGCGGGGAACTACCCCGCTTCCTTGCGCCAGCCAATAGAAGGAGGCTCCGTGCAGCCTCCTGCGAGCCTGAACCAGGATCGTAACACATACCCGCTTTTCAACAGCTGGGTATGTGGTCTTCCTTATAGGAGGCCCTGTGTTTTGTAAGTCAAAGGAGCAGTCTTTTGTCACTAGATTTACACGTTGAATTTGTCAAGTTGTTGGGAATGAAGTCTAAGAGAGTCCTGTAGTATAATACATAGAGATTGGAAGAAAATGGCGGGCTTAGAGGACTTGTTTATTCAGCACATCCCACTATTTACTTCCTTCGGAATAGCCTCATATTTGTGAGGACCCGTCCACCAAACTGGCCCTGAAGCAGCCAGAGCCGCCCAGAACCCACGGGCCTATCAGAAGCCTCCTCGAGGCCCCACCTACCCCACTGATAGATGCAAACTTATTCGCGAGCACGCGACGCGTTGTCGGACTTTTCCTTCTTTCCCTCCTCAGTTTAGAATCTTCGTCGATAGCACCCAATGGACTGAGTTCACCTCAATGCCTTGCCCTGGTCGTGACACAATTCTAAACTCTTCTCTTCCTTGCTGGCGAAGCAAGTAAAATATATCTCCCTCATTCCCGCATTCATTTGCAACCCCTACGTCGGCTGTACACGACGCAAAACTAAGGCACAGAACCCCCGCGCAGTCAATGCCGCCGAAGAAAGATTACGGCCCACCGACACGCAAATCCGATCGACTCTCTAAAAAAGATAGCAGAGACCGGACCCCAACAGGAGAATCGAGTATCACAGCCAAAGTGCCAGACGACACCGTCCTCGATACACCCTCGAGCCCAGAGCTAAACAAGCCCGCCGAAGACCCCAGTGACCCCGAGTCAGAAGTACCTGTCACTACCAACAGCAACACCGAAAGCAGATCGCCCGCTGTTACCGCGCGAGACCCTGATCAAGATACACCTCTCGCCTCTGTCGAAGTCGAGATAACGAACTCCAGTATCCTCACCGAACAATCGGAAGTCAACCGACAATTGACCCATTACAACCTCCGCCCCGCACCAACAGACGACGAGATGATCGCCACAGGTACACCCACCCCACAATCAACAACCGCAGACATGGCCCCCTCCACGCCTACCACTACAGAGCTTCAAGCCATCATTGCCCGGCTCCAAGCCGAGCTCAATGCCCGCTCCTCTACACCCATTCGCCAACCCAGCGCCGCTCGCGATATAACCCCAGCTCAAAGCTTGTTTGGCGGAACTGCTTTTAAGCCAGTCGGACCAGCTGCCAAACCCGAGTTCGCCCCGTTCCCTGGGAACGAAGGACAAGACAATCCCAACCCGGACTATGACGCAAGGGCCCGAGAATCACGGAAGGATCCTGGCATCTTCGAAGGAGAGAAAGACCAATTCGATGATTGGATTCTCAAGTTGGCGGCCAAATGTCGTCGAGACAAGAAGACCTTTGTCGACGAGAGAGATCGTATGGACCTGGTCTACGCCTCCACAAAAGGAGTACCCGCCGATCTTCTTCGCTCGAGATATGACGCTCTCACCCATCCATACCACTCGACAGCCGAGATGATCGCCACTCTGGCCAATGCTTACTTCGACGCAAATCAGTCCCTGAAAGCGGCTGACGAACTACGCGAGCTTCGCTACAACCCGTCCGACGACATTCATGCATTTATCGCGAAAGTTAACGGTCTGGCAGCCCGCGCCAAGATCCCCCTTGAAGAAAGCAAGAATACCTTATTCGCCCATATCCCCAGAGACCTCGACACCCGACTCCTCGCCGATGCCCGCGATCCGACCGTCACGTACGAGAGATTTTGCGATCTCGTCACCAGCGCCGCTCTCTCCAAGCAGGGAGCTTACGAAGAGCGTCGAAAACGCCGAGAAAAGTCCCCCACCGAACGCAAAGCTCGACGCCGCCGGTCTGGAGAATACAAGAACGAGGTCAAGACGACCACGACCCCTGTCGCCCCAGCACCTCGACCGATAGAGAAGGAGGTGGAAATCCTGAAGGCAGCCGACCTCTGCTTCGTGTGCAAGAAGCCAGGACACCAAGCTCGCAAATGTCCTGATCGCAAGGTTATGGCCAGTCTCCTCGCCAGCTTCGATCATGAAGGAAGCTCTGACCGTGACGGGACCGCTGTTGCCGATACTTCGTCGGAATCTTCAGGATCGTTAGAGTCGGAAAACTAGTTCGGCTGTCGGAAGTCTCCTCGATAGCCCATATACCACAATTAGCTAAAGTCGGCAGATCACCAAAATCAAATACATTCACCAAACGGGTCAACCTGTTAGTCGATGGCATTGGTCTTGAGACTCACGCTCTTTGTGATACTGGAGCCGATATTTCCCTTTCTATGACCCCGAAGATGGCCAAGAAGCTCGTTGATAAGGTCGGGGCAAAGACGGAACTCTTGACTAAACCGCTAGTACTTAGTGATTTCAACGGGGCCGCCACCGCTCGCGCCACCCATCAAGTTCGGGTCACTCTCGAGATCGACGGCAGACGTTTCCCCCGTCAGAAGTTCATTATCATCCCGACCGCCAATGATGTCTTTATAGGACAGGATTGGTTTACCAAGCAGAACGTATGGCTGCACCCCGCCTCGCGTACTCTTCGCTGGCCCGACGATACTCCTGCCCTAGCACAATACTCGCCCAGCATCCTTGTCGATCCGAGCACCAGCACTATTGACATGAATGCCCAGTCAGAGGTAGTCCGCCGAGATCGACTAATGGAGGCCGAGGAACGCAAGCTGAAAGTGCAAAAGATTCTGCAAAATCCCTGGCGCAGAACAGACACACAGACAGTGGTAACCGCTGCGACTCCAGCGGTCGCAACGGAACAGAAGCACAGCCTCGAGATGATTGCTTGCCTCCGCGCAATTGAGACTGACCCTCGCCAAGAGAGATGGAAAAAGCAGAAGATGCCCCAAACTGCCATACCATTAGATGGAGTCTCTAATCAGCCAACCATAAGCCTCAACGCTCTCACCGTCGACCCCAAGGCTTGGAACAAGACCTTCGACGGAAAGCATATCCCGTTCCCGGCAGGAGAGGATTCCGAGCATATTAACAAAGTGCGCGCCAAGCTACCACGCGAGTTGGCTCACCTGGAAGGATTCTTCTCGAAGAAAGCCTCAACGCAACTGCCTCCCAGTCGCCCTGGCTTTGATGTGGTTCTTGAGCTCAGTAAGCCGCTAGAGGGAAGACCGTCCCGCTACCCTACGCCCTTCGCTTTCTTAGGACTCGAAAAAGAGACCACCGACGAACTACTAAAGATCGGGTTTATTGAACGGTGCATGACCGATAAACCTGCTCCCACCTTGTTCGTGCCTAAACCCCATTCAGAAGAGCACCGTTTCTGTGTGGATTACCGCTGGGTCAACGACTTCATTAAGGGTCGACAAGTGTTAGCCCCCGACGTGCAAGGTACCATCAGCCGCTGTGGGCGAGCCAAGCACCTGACCAAAATCGACATCATCCGTGCCTTCAATCGATTGCTGATGGACCCCGGTTCAAGGTACCTTACCGCCTTTACCACTCGCCAAGGCACCTTCCAATGGAAAGTCCTGCCCTTCGGGCTGAAAGTCGGGCCAGCTTGGTTCCAAGCCTTTAT